CCCCCCCCCCCAACACATACACTCCCTCTCTGGCTAAAACTAGGGTGCTCACAACAGAGGCCTGCCCTGGGAGAACACATGTTTTGCACCGGAGGCATGCAGCACTTGGCCCTGGTGGGGTCCCCAAGTCTGTAAGCACTTTGCAAAGAGGGACCAGGATTAAAAAAAAATGAAATCAGGGGGATGGGGAAGGGGGGCAAGGAGGGAAGGGCACATCGAAAGGCTGCCTACCTGAGGTGAAGAGGACTATGGCCTTTAAACAGCTATATTCTGCAGAGTCGACATGCAATGCTTTCAGTTTTTCTACTTGCTCTTGGAAGATTCGTATGTGGTCCATAAAGGCGACCACTCGGTCAGCAGACATTGGCGAAGCGTGGAGCCCGGCGGCGGCCAGGAGAGGAGCTACGTGGAGGGGCATGGAGCACTGGGCAGCGTTGAGCACAAACAACTCACTCCAGGTCAGCCTGAGCAGGGCCACCTGGTCTGTGATCTGGAGGTCTGGGAAGAAGGGGATATTCCTGGCCCACTCCACCGCGCTGAAGAGCATCCTAGCTGCCAGTTCACAAATGTTCTCGATGCCCATGATGTTGTTGGGTTGCATGCATTGACTGCCAAAGCGGGAGGTCGGGTAGGGCTCTGCTCTCAGAAGAAGGGAGATATATCCGGATAGGTAGGAATGGCAGTTGAGAGGGTCCCCATTTGTCAAGGCGAACTGCCCATGAGTTGGCTGTGTGGGTGGCAGTCTGCCCCTCTGGACGGCTGCAGTAAATAAAGAAGAAACTACAGCTATTAATATCTGAATTGCTACCAGCGGCTCAAAAATCATCGTCATCATCAGCATTATTATCAGGGGGAGGAAAAAAAAAATAATCAAGGCTGCTTTTGTGTGCGGTGAAAAGTCAGCTAGAGGGGAACATGCGATGGCCAGGCACAGCTCAGCCTGGCTCCGGCGTTCCCGGGTGAAGTAAAAGCAACAATAAAAGCTGAGCATTGCTGTAATACTTGCCTAAAGGCTGCAGCTCTGCACTGCATTAAGGGCACTACCACATCCTCAGATCCTAAACACACAAGAAGGCGATTATTTGGGGGGGGGGGTTGGGGGGGGGGTGCATGTGTCTTTGTGTGTGTGTGTGTGCGTGTGTGTGTGTCTTTATTCCAGCTGAACAGCTGATATTGCTGATTGATTTGAGGCCGGGACGGTGCACACACTCTGATGGCAGCAAAATAACACAGCGCTGGTCCCAGCCCGCGTCCATGGAAAGGGAGGGGGGGGGGGGTCATCCTTTAAATTAAAAAAAAAAGGAAAAGAAAATAGGGGGACACACGCACACGCACACAATCGCATCGCGGCAGACACGCGGGGCTCCAGGAGAGGCTGAGCCGGGGTCTTTCAAGGCACCTTCCTCAGCTGCTCCTGGAAAGTGGGCCTTTCATTTTGCTAATAAATTTACATGGTGACAGCGAGAGAAAAGGAGAAAGAAAAGGGGCCGAGAGACAGAGATGCAGCAAGAAGCGAGAGGCGCTCCAACGGGCTTGATTTATCTTTGTTATTTCACGTATTACAAGGTTAGTTACTCTTGCAGAAACACAAAAGGGGGGAGAAAAAGAAGAAGAAGAAGCAGCAGCAGCCAGGCAGTCCCGAGTCCCCTAACCCTTAACCTACATAGCGGCGTCCAGACACACAACACGCCATTGGAAAACTGAGGCTCACATTTCTCGTCTAATTTTATATCACAAAGACTCGACTTGCTCGGATTAAAAACAACAACAACAACAACAACAACCACCAACCAAACAAAAAACCCAGAAAACCCACAGTCACTTGTTTGCTGCCTCCCACTCCCGGCCCTGGGTCACTCTGCCTCTCCTCCCGGGAGGAAAAATACACGTGAAAGCTTAAGCATAGTAGGGGGGGGGGAAAGGCAAGCGGATCTTTTAAAAAAAATAATCATCATAACAACCCCCCTGGCAGAGTGGAGGGCTGCAGGGATGCGAGCTGCCCTGCTGCAGGAACTGAAGCTCCCGGGCAACATTGCAATAAGGGTGGGGGGACCGAGGAGGGTCGTCTATAGACACATCCACACACATGCACACCCCGAGCCGGGAGCATGCAGGAGGCGCCGGGGGGGGGGGGGAAAAAGTAACTCCAAGTCAGAATCCACATTTCCCTGCTTCAGCAGCGGGAAACTCAGCATCTCCTTCCCATAACCCAGATCCCCCCCGACACAGCCCCCTGGCCAGGGCAGGGAGGCACCTCTGGCCCCGCACCCCCTCCCCGGCTGCAGCCACGCAAAAGTTTGTCTCACTTCTGCTTAGGGTGGGATCTTTTTTTTTTTTTTCCCCTCCTCCCCCCTTCTTAAAACAGAATAGCTATCTATCTATCACAGCAAAGAAAGACATTTGTTTTGCTTTTTTTTCTCTTTTTACAAAGGCAAACAACTATGCAGCGAGTGACAACTGGAAAACAAATGAAATCCCAATACCTTCCCGTCTCATGCCAACTTTGAGGCATTTTTTGAGGCGGCAGTACTGACACTGATTGCGGTGGTGCTGGTCAATCGGACAGTTCCTGTTGGCACGGCAAGTATAGCTCAGGTTCCTCCTTACACTCCTCTTGAAGAAACTCTTGCACCCTTCGCAGGTAAATTGGCCATAATGTTTGCCACTAGACTTGTCCCCACAAACCACACATTCAATGTGCTGCTGCTGCTGCTGCTTGTCTCCTTGGCTCTGCTGGCTTGGCTGGTTGGTCTGGGCTGGAGTGCTGGGAGGCCCTCCTTGCACCGGGGTCTGTGGTGTGTGAGGGGCCCCGGCTGGAGGTCCTTGCACTGGCGGGGCTTGAGACGGCTGTGTTCCCTGAGCTCCGGGTACATCGTCCTGGGGGTCTCGCCACGTACCAACTACCATTGCCATATCTATTGGACACCGCTTCCAAACTTCCTGTTCCCCCTTTATTTGTTAAAGTTTGTTTGCTTGGCTTTCAGCTCAGCTTTGCAAGCAGTTTGTCGCTCTCTCGCGTGGTTGCTTTTTATTTTCTCTCCTTCCCCTCCCTCTCTCTCTCAAAAAATAAAATAAAATATATATATATAGGAGAAGAAAAAGGGTGGGGGAAATGGAGGGGGGTGCAAAAAAAAAATTAAAAAGTATATATATATATATATATATATATATATATATGCCAGCAAGGTTTGGAGAACCAGGGGTGCTGGAGAAGGCGAGGGGGCCCCCCAGATTTCGAGGCGATTGTCTGGCTTAAGGACAGAAAAGTAAAGGGGTGGTTGGGGGTGGGGAGAGGGAAAGAGAGAGAGAGGGAGAGAGAGAGAGAGAGAGAGAGAGGGAGGAAAAAAAATCTCTTGCAAGATCTCTCTCTCTCTCTCTCAAAGCTGATCTGCAGCAGAGGAGTTGGAGGAGGAGGAGAGGCGAGTGTCTGGGGGCCAGATCCAGGGAAATTCACAGTCAGCCATTCAGGAAAGCCATCAAAATAAGAATGAACAAAAGGTGAAAGATGACACACGCGGCAGAAAAAAAGGCACAACTAAAAAGACTTTTCTCGGCGCAGAAAGCGGTCGCTGGCGCTGGAGCTGCTGGAAGTCCCGCTTGGAGAAACATCAACTGAGAGCAAAGCTTCGCTGCTGCTTTCTTGCTTTATTATTTTTCCCCCTCCTCTTTCCGCTGCTTCTTCTCTTTTTTCCTTTTTCCTTTTTTTTAATTTTTTTTTTGCGCTCCCCTTCTCTCACTCTCTCTCTCTTTTTTTTCCTCCTCCTCCTCCTCTTTTCTTCCCTTTATTTTTGCCGCTGCTGCTTTGCTTTCTCTCTCTCTCTCTTTCTCTCTCCTTCTGCCGCCGCGGTTGTTGCTGCCGCTGCTGCCGCTTCGCTGCCTTATGCTGCTTCTCCTTCTTTGCGAGTGGGGCTCTAGTCTTAGCGCTGTCGGTTCACACAACACATGGGGTGGGTGGAAGAAGGAGGGGGGGGGGAAGAGAGAGAGAGAGAGAGAGAGGTGGGGGGGGAGGTGGAGGGAAAAAGAGTCAACTCTCCAGCTTAGAGCCCAGGGATAAAAGAGGAGGAGGGAGGGGAGAAAAAAAAAAAGCAGGATCACAACCTAGAAGGCAGCAGCATCATTCTTCATGCGCAAAAAAAAAAAAAAAAAAAAAAAAAAAAAAAAAAAAGGGGGGGGGGGAAGTAAAAAAAAAAAAAAAAAGAGAGAGAGAGAAAAATAATAATAAAAAACCCCCAGACTGGAGGGAGAGATTAACCCCCCCCTAAAAAAAAAAAGTAACCCCCCCACAAAAAAAAAAATCCCCCAGCAAAAGAAAAGAATCAAAGTGATCAAATATGCTAAGCAGGGGGGTAGGAAGTGAATGGGTTGATAGGAGCCGGGCTGGCAGAGTGCTGAGTGCTTTCTCTGCGAGCAGCTCGCTGCGCTCTCTATATAGTGAACTTTGACACGACTGCTGCAACTTAGCACACGTTGCCATGGCGACCGCGCGCCTTATAAGGCAACAGACTGTGTTTGACTGGTCAAAAGCTCCCGGACCTCCCCTTGCCCCTCATTGGGCAGCGCAGCCCCTGCGCTGCCTGCTATGGCTGCCAGCGCCGCCCGCCGGGTCCTAGCGCCAGCGCGGTTCCCAGGCAGCTCCAACTCCGAGCGGCGCATGGAGGTGGGGGTGGGATTTATTTATTTATTTCTTTTGGGATTTTTTTTTCTTCCCCCTCCTTGACAATAGATTTTTTTTCTCCCCTGCAAAAAAACTTTCTTTTTGCATTAATTGTAAATCAGAATGGAAGGGGGGGGGGTTTGCAACAGCCGCCCCCAGAACCCCGGGTGAGCGGGGAGACCGGGATGAGCCTTTGTAGGGAGAGAACAGACTTTATTAACTCGGATCAGACAGCAGGAAAAGCAAGCAAACAAACAAAAATAAGCCCCCCCCCCAAAAAAAACCCCCAACAACCCAGATTCTGATGGTATCGTCACCTGTAAGCAAGAGTTACAGCCCGCTTGCTCTGGTCCCCACTGTGATGGTAATGTGAAGAAATAAGTTCCTGATGGATTGATTTATTTAATTGCTTATTTATTTATTTTGGCACAGGTGGGGGGTGGTGGAGGGCTGGGGAGAAAGCAGTTGTTGGTGCTACAGGAGGGCGATCAGGTTCAGCTCTTGATCACTCCAAAATTTTTTTGCGGGGAGGGTGGTGAAGGAAGGAGCTCTCAGCCCTGCTGTTCTTCAGTGACCACCCTTCTCTCTGGGTTAGGGTTAAAGTTCACAGGTATGTGGATTTAACTTTTGATTGCTCCATAAGCAAATAGGATGCTGCCCGAAAGATCACTGTGTGTCACTGAGGCTGCTGCTAGAAGGCATGCAGCCTGAACCTTAATTCAGCATCTCTCTCTCTCTAATTATTATTGTAAAATAACTCTGAAACGCAGAGAGCCATCAGCTAAAGTTTTCGCGTGTCATGCTGAATCTTGGTGTTTGCAAAGGGGGAAAGATACCTGTGTTCATGCCATGCCCGTGAATGCAATGACTTTTCTACGTATATATTAGATGGACATCTATCAATGTATACAGGCAGGCATCAGTGAATCTGGTACTTGATCACAGAATAGTTCAGTATGGACTTCATTGTTTCTGAACTGCTCTGGCATTCCAGGAGCCCTTCTTTTTTTTAGCAACCCACCCCATATACATTGGAAATAACGTACAAATACACGCCACGCATGCCCGAATAGCTAGATATTTGCACTTTCTTTCTGAGAAGCACCGGGCTTACAGAAACAGCAGCGATTTCAATCAAACACAGCATATATTACATTCCTTTAATATGCTGGGGGGGGGGGGGAGAGGATAAATCAATGCTGCTTTCTTTTTTATCAGACTCCAGCAACCTTCGCCATCACGCCACACACTTCCAGTCTATTCAACTTTTATTTTGTTCTTGTTTTTGACCAGGTATGGCTAATACATACGGATAGAGTAGCACCGTGGCTCGGTAACACAACCTCAGTACTATACAGAGGGCAACAGCAACTAGGTAACCGATCTAAGTATACTGGGGCGGCTGCTGATTTGCCATTGCATGGAGGTAGTCAACATTTCTTCCTGAATACGTGCACTCAAGCCCAGAACAGACCAGCGGCTGCACAGACAGCAAAATGCAAAAATGCGCAGATACAGTCCCTTCTCATAAAAAAAAATAATCTCTATTTAAGGCATTTTGGACTAGAGAGTTGGACTCTTATGTTCCCAAGCAAGTGCAAACACAGGGACCCAGATGCATAGGCGACTATATAGAGGATTAATTGCTGCAATCGCTCTCCCCCTCCACTTCTTCTACATGCACCCCCCCCCCCTTTCTACCGCAGAAATAATATATGTCACTAAAAAGCCGCAGGTGCTGAGATGATTGGAAAGTTGTAAAAAGCACCTACACTTGACCATGTCCTGTTTATAAACCTGGGATATAATAAGATCCCATCAACAAAGATGGGCTGCTGGTCCGTTTCAAAGGCAGGCTGTACACTTCCAATTGATCCTGATGTGGCAACATAAACCCTGAACTTAAACAATGATCAAGGGAGGATGGAAAAGAAACAGGGGGAAGGGAAAAGCTTTCGCCGGTAAAGTGGGGAGAACAGCCTGCTGGCTTCCAAATCTCTCAGACACGAGAGGGGGGACGACGCATTTTGGCTCACAACCTAGACTGCCTCGCAGGTTCCTGGGGAATGTTTTGAAGAGGGGAGGGAAAAAAAGGTTTTCTGTCTCAAATCTTATACATTACACAAGAACAATTCAAAATCACAGGGAAAACACGAGTACCTTTTTAAGCACAGACAAGCGGGTTTCAACAGCATTTACATTATGAGTAGTTTAAATGTGTGATCGTAAAGAAAGAAAGAAAGAAAAAAAAGCCAGTGATACATACTTAAAAGCTGCAGTGCACCCTAATTGCTTAAACCATAATGAAGAATGCGCCAGATTAACTATTTGCTCCTCGAAGGATGCAACAATATAACTATCTATTAACGCCATTAGATGGTTTCCTATTTATTTTGAAAACAGCCCTGCCAAGTGAGCTGATGTGGAATAGATGAATGTAACGCTGAGCTGTAGCTAATTTTGCTAAATAATATTTGAAAGCTGAGTGCATCGCAGATAAATGAAGACTCTCAGACGTCCTTATCGGAGATCAGTTCACAAGAGAAGCAGCAATTTTTTTTTTAAAGTAGGATTGTATTTTATGGTATTGACTTCTTTTTTAATAAATCCTTCCTGCCATCTTTCTGCAGATGTAAATTTATTTTAATGAGCTGGAGGGGGAAGGTTTATTTTGCTAAAATAGAGGTTGTGAGAGCGTCAGTGGAAGTCTTCGGGCGGTGGGAAGGGGGGAGCTGGGGGTCCCCCCTCCCCCCTTGGCAAAAAGTTGCTCCCCAGCCCTTTAATTCTGTCTGGATTAAATCGCAATATGAATACAGCATCGAACAAATGCTGAGTCTCTCTCTGAACTCAGTGGAAAGCAGTTACGTCTAGCAGAATTCAATGAATTCCTCTTCTCCCTCAATGTAGTATGTGTGTGTTTTTCTCTTCCACCACACTGAAGTTCCATGAATAGGGAAAGTGGCTCCTATTGTGTGCCTCTGAACTTCCAAGTCAATGCAATTTTTAACCACTGGCTTGTGGTACTTTGAAAATCACCAGGGGCTGTCAGAGTTGGGTCCTCTGAAAAATTTACAGTGCTAAATCAGAGCATATGCTGGGAGAGAGGGAAAAAAATGCTTAAGATTGGAGCAAGTACAGTATCTGGCTGCCCCCTAGTGTAAGACTCTTATCTGCCTAAAATTCAACTTTCAAAGAAAAGGATCTCTTAAAGGGAAACGACTTTTGGCTCACGTATGCAAGCGAGAATGAAACTTCTGTACATTTTAATCTGATTAATACCTAAGGATTTCAGATTAATTGACTTGGGCACTCCTGGACCGGACTCTAACATTTCTGCTGCAGGGCTCCCTTCAAGAAGCCCTGTATTCAATAGGTATTTTTAAAGGG